CTCAACGCTGATGCGGTACCTGAGGTTACTAGTGTAACAGAGTGTCCTATACTCTCTGCAGCTTTTCCATGCTCACATACACATACATGAAACAGAGAGACGCTGCAGGGCTGGGTACTTCCTGGACAGCACTCATATATGTAGATGTAAATACATTCCTTTTTTAAAAACTTGAATTTTTTTGTTAACCTGCAACATGTTTTCTTTTATTTAATAACATGTCATGGATAAGTTTCCACATCAATGGATCTAATACATTATTTTTAACACTGCCTCATATTCCATGGCATGGGTATAACTAACTCGCTCAACCCATCTCCCCACTTTTTAAAAAATTTTTTTGAAATGGAATCTCAGTCTGTTGCTTAGGCTAGAATGCTGTGGCCTTAGCCTAACTCACAGCAACCTTAAACTCCTGGGGTGCTTCTACATCAGACTCCAGCTGGGACTCTAGGCACCTACCACCAGGCCTGGCCAATTTTTCTGTGAGATAGGATCTCACTCTTGCTCAGGCTGGTCTCAAATCCTTGAGCTCAAGGGAAGCTCCCTCCTCGGCCTCCCAGAGTTCTGGGATGACAGGTGTGAGCCACTGCATCTGGCCAACCCATTTCCCTATTGACTTGTAGGTTCCAGAATTTTTCTTCTTATAAATAATCCCACAGTAAACATTTTCATATGTATATTATTATTTACTGAGGCTTTCAATCACTATAATTTTAAGTTTAGTTACTTTTTATTTACAAATTAGATGTGTGTATAAATCCTTTAGATCAGTGGTTCTCAACCTATGGGTCACGACCCCGTTGGAGGTTGAATGACCCTTTCACAGGGGTCACCTAAATACATCCCGCATATCAGATATTTACATTACGATTCATAACAGTAGCAAAATTACAGTTATGAAGAAGCAACAAAAATAATTATATGGTTGGGGGTCACCAGCACATAAGGCACTGTATTAAAGGGTCCCAGCATTAGGAGGTTGAGAATCACCACCTTAGATTGAAAGCATCTCACAAGTCCTTGGTCCATTTTACGTGACAAGTCCAAACTTACGCACAGACACGGCAACATGCAAAGCTTTTGTAGGCTTTATAGTTTGTCCCCAGATCGCTTTTTCCCTCCTCGCCTTTCACCACCCCCCATTACTAAAGCTGCTCCCCTCACCCACCCAGGGGCTCTGCCTTCCCCTGAGGGCCCTCTCTGAGATAAACCCACCTTCTGCGAGCAAGGAGCGAGCGTCCCTGATCTCTCCCCCTGTGCACTGTGTGCTCCACAGCACTTTCCTCCCTCCTCTGCTGGAGCCCTTTCCTTGTCTCCTTCCCTGAACTCTGGCAGCGCATGCGTCTGTGTCTCTGGTACGTCATGGGTCTTTCAGTGGCAGAAACAATCTCAGATGAATGCCATACCTGCAGACAGGAAAATCTCAAAGAAATGCTGATGGGTTTGGAGAATTCCCCCAAAGAGAGTCACAGATCAGTACATTTATTAAGGCAATTTGGAGAAAGGATAGCAATATTTGGGAAAAGACAATCACAGGTGGTATCTGTATTTTTGACCTTAAGGACCTTTTCTTTTCCTTCTAGAAGAGAGGATCAGAAAACTTTTTTTAAAGAGCCTGATGGTAAATATTTTAGGCTCGGCCAGCTGTGAGGTCTTTCTAGAACAGCTATGACTACTCGGCCGCTGTAGTGGAAGGAGCCGTAGACGGTACACAAACGAGTGTGTCTGTGTTCTCCTAAAACTTCATTATAAAAACAAGCGGCGGGCAGGGTTTAACTCATGAGATGTGGTTTGCCAACTCTTGTGCCAGAAAGTGTCTAGGTACAGTTAGACTGACCGAGTTGAATTCAAATTCTAGTTCTACTTACTCTGTGCAAGCGCCTTACCCTCCATGTCTTTGTGAACACACAAAGGGAAGGTCAGTCCCGCCCCCTTCACTGCAGACATCGACTTCAGGGTCTGGCGCTTACTGAGCACAGAAATGGCAGCCCCACTACTGCCTGTTCAGAGGACAAGCCTGAAAGGGGGTCAGAGAGCATGCAGCCCCTTCTTCCAACTGGAACTAGAACCCTAAGGAAAAGGCAAGCTGACAAACAGTGGAAAGCAGAGACCATTGGTGACAGTGGCAGGGCACCCCAAGTCCTGCACACGCTTTTATGGCATAAATCAGGTATAAACAGATAGGTATCTGACACTGGCTACAGCAACAGCAATGCTATTAATAAAAGATGATGAAGCTTGTTTAGCGTGCCTGGAGCTATATTGACTATAAAAGGAATGGGTCAGGCTTCAGAAAAATTATCGGTGAAATAATAATACACACCTGGAGATATACATGGAGATGTGGGCTTTTTAGCAAAAGCACAAACAGAATATTAATCATTCCTGTTTTTTTCCACCTGCTGGGGTTAGAAACCCATCACTCACCCTCACCCCATTCTCTCAGACCTGCCCTGGCCACATCCTCGGCGGGGTGCCCCAACGGGGTCCTCCCTCCAGCCTCCAGGACCATTACTGACTGTCCCCTGCCTGTGACTTCTTTTCCTTGCCTGTCACCAATGATGAGTGGTCACCAGGCTGTTGGAAGATGATGTGTGGAGTAGAAGGGACCTGGACTTGGAGTTCATGTGCTGGCCCCGCCATCCACTCATAGTGTGCCCAAGATTGGGTAGCAGGTCCCTCAGTATCTCTGAGTCTCAGATTCTCTATAAAACAGTGATCCCTAGCTCCTGGAGGTTTTGTGGGAATGAGATGAGGTTAAGTGAAATGCAGAGGCCGGGAGTCCTTCAACAGTACCCACTTCCCTGAGGTTCTCAGGAAACAGTAACCACGGCTGAACTGCTCACAGGGGTTGTCTTGGTGTAAATCTCCCTGTGATGTAACCATTTGAAAGCAAGACTGAACCAAAATATGCATTCAACGGAGGGGAGAGGAAGGAAGGGAGAGAGGGAGGGAAGTTGGTGTGTTCTCACCTACCGGCATAATGTCAGGGTATATGGTACCCCCTGAGTGCGGGACACAACCACAAGGGGCATCTCCCTAACAAATGCAAACATTATAATCTGATCATTTGTACCCTCATGGTAATCTGAAATTAAAAAATAAAAGAAATATGCTCCTAATTAATTGAAGTACCTGGCATAAAAAAATTCAATAAAAATTTGATTTATTTTTAAATTGCTTTTAAAAATCTCCATCAAAATTATATAAGGCAAGCTAGATTCTGTTTTTTTAATTTTGTGAGACAGAACCAGGATCTTCATTAGCATATATTGCAGAAAGATATTTTAAGATAATTTGAAAATCAACTCAAAGTTTCATAAAATTTGAGAGGAAAATAACAAATTGAGGGAAAAATACCAAAGATTTACAAGAAAATCTATAAGCAGTGATAAAATTGTTCTTCTTTTTTCCAAATTATTCTTTGCAGAATGGCTGCCCAGCCCCTGCCTGCTCCCTCCACCACCTGAGCACTGTCGAGGTTAAGCCCTCTTTCTGTGGCTTATGTATTTTTTTCTTCCAAGAATATAAATAAATCCTAGTGGTATAGATGTGTTTAATATAATGAAAACTAGACGTGTGGAATGAATGAAGATATTCTGCCCATTTTTATGCATGTCCATGATGTGTAGGAGTTTTAGACTGATTTTCAATACATTGTTTCACCAATTGCTCAGAACAACCTGGGGCGGGGGGCAGGTACTGCCTCTCTTTCATGACTGGAAGCAAAGACTCCAAGTGTTTACCCACAAACCCAGGGGCTGGGTCCTGGGCATGTGCCCCGTTTTCTTGCACCAGGCCTCCTGTCTCTCGATTGCACTGCAGGTGATTAACTTCATGCACTTACTACGTGCTGCCGTAGCCATAGAAAACCTACAGTAAGGGGGTGGTGCCTGTGGCTCTAAGGAGTAGGGCACTGGCCCCATATGCCGGAGGTGGTGGGTTCAAACCCAGCCCTGGCCAAAAACTGCAAAAAAAGAAGAAAAAGAAAAGAAAACTTACTGTAAGGTCCAAGGTAGGCTTCCAGTAGAAATTCTTTCTCTGTTTTTTGACTTTTTGAATTAAAAGTCTTAGTGATTAAGAGCTATCTAATTGATAAATAGAGCACACTTTTACCATGATATACACGTATAAACATTTAACAAAAATAGTTAAAATTGCCTCAAATTATGTACAAATCCTTTTGGTTTCTATGTCAGATTTTGGTAACTGAAATTGAAGCAATACTTCCACAACCAGCCCAAAAGCTGGTCAGTGATAATAAAATGAGAGAGTTGTTATCCAAGGGCAGTGAAAAAATGTGTGTGCAAACGAGATACTATAATTTCATTAAAATCATAAATGTATACAAGTAAACAGTCAACGATCTCATAAGCTTTCTCTACCAAAATGAATTACTACTAATTAGCAACCCTGGAAAATTTTTATTTTTGGAGCTTCCATACTCATTATAAAATGCAAGCATCATGTTTTTAATAAAGTTCCATGATGAAAGTGTTAGAAATTAGGCTTTACTACATCCTGCAGCATTTTAAAAGTTAATTAATTTTCTGACACTCAACAGTGTAACTAAATTACTTTGTACAGTTGTTTGAGCACAGTATCTTTCATCTTCTAATTAATAGAATAAGCACTGAGGTCATCAGCAGTGATTATTTACCCACCCGCCACACCGTGACCCCCGTCCCTGAGTGCTCCTCCAAAGAATCTGAACGGATTATTCTCCAGTGTTTTAGAAAGTTTTTACTGTAGAAGAATGAGGAGGGGAAAAGACGTTTAAATTTCAGGTTTCAAAGTCCCAAGTTTGGGGATGAAAGTGTATTTTTTAAAATCTTAAACTGAAGAAAAACTCTAACAAGGCCCTGTGCAGCAAAATAAACACAGGCCGGTTCACTGGGGTTTGCCCTGTGGTTTCTGTTTAAATTTGTGCTGCTGTCATGATTTATTCCTACCTCACAGGATAATGAATCTAGGTTTTATTTCTGTTCTTTGCCCAGACTTGTACAGCAGGCAAAGTGTTTGAAAATCAAAGGAAAAGAAGATATTGACTTGGATAATCTCTTCAGAGGTAAAAACCAAAACAACTAGCACGAGTGCAGAGCAGACTTTTTGTTGTGCAGAAATGTCTTATTTGTTGGGTGTGTGGTTTTATCATCTAGTAGGGAATGGCGGGAAGATCCTAATTCCAAGGCAGGAGACGCGTGTTCTAGTCCCAGTCCCGGAAATAGTAAGTCCCATCACATCACTACTGGACACCAGCATTTTCGCGTATTTGAAGTGGACGGACTAGACTCTAATCTCACCATAGGCCAAATCAAAACCACCTGCTCAAGAGAGCATCTCGGTGATTGAGACCTTGCAAGGAAACCAGAGGCGTCTCCCTGCATTTGGAAAGTCAGGAGGCTGACAAGTGAGCCTGGTTAGTAAGACAGGCAAGATGATCACTGAGACTAAAGTTTAACCGTCAGACCTGAAGCATTTGTTGGAGTCTAGGAAAAAGAATCACATGTTTTCATTTAGTTATGTTTCTTTCCAGGGAAGGTTCAATATAGACGGAATGTTGAGGTTAGGTTATATTGTAACAAGCTAAGGAACAGGTTTTCCATAGATTGTGTTACTTTAGTGCAAAAATACTCATTTGGTCAGTGAAAATATTGATAATCTCTAATGAGTATCCTATATATATCTTCAGTTTTGGTTAACTCTTGATTTCATTCACATCAGCCACAAAGACCAAGGACCTTTGCCTTAGAAAATGGAGGGCAGTGACCTTACTCTGGTTTCACTGCAGCTACAGATTTCTCTGTCATCAGAAGAGTTCCTGAGTAAGACTATCACTGGAGCTGAAGCTTGGTCTAAATAAAATAAATAACTGATATTTTAGAAAACTCTTCCATGGAAATGTTCTCATCCGTTTTACCAAACCTTCATTCTGTAAACAACATATTTTGGAACTATAGAAGAAGCCTTAAAAAAACAGTGCTGGTGTTTTAATTCATAATTTGACACTTTTGAAAATATCGCCACTGAGTAATTATGTCTATGTTCCTGTTAAAACAGATACACAATTTGGTAGTTCATATAGTAAAAGCAGTAATGAGGATCATCCTTATAAAAATAGAAAATATCACTAGCAAAATGCATTTGCATAATGTGAAAGATGAGATTGCTTCCAGCTTGCTCAGAACACTCTTGCTCTTCCCCACATCGCTTTGAAGACGTTTATGTCCATATGCTTTTATTTATTTGTGCATTCACTGTGCTCTTTAATTTAAACATAGTGGTTTACTCGCGGTGGAGGTCTGTGGTAGCAAACGGCATTTATGTGAGTGACGTTGTGTGTTGGGAAGTGCATGCGGGATGCATTCTGTCCATGGAAATTGGCAGGCTGTCCTCAGCACCTGCCTTCTAGTCCAGCCCTTTGTCACCCAAAGTGACTCTTCCTCAGATTGGACTGATCCCTACTGTTGTAATTAATCTCATTTGCTCTGGCTCTAATATGGATGATAGGAAAAAATTACTACTTATTATTTAATATTTCGCTTTTAATTTTCTTAATCCTGTAAATCTGGGCATAATCTCCAAGTCCTTACCTTTTCTTTCTTTTTTTTTTTTTTGTTTTTCCATCTGGACAGAGATTTGAATGAATGTCTTCTTCATTCATTAGGAATCTTTTCTTTTCTAAAAGAAAATAGGCTACAATTTGTTCTCCATTTCTGCTATGAGAGGAGGTAGTACTAGTGTGCTCTGAGATATTTAGAGATGTGTACAGACATGTGTACATGCGCACGCAGCTTCTGTCTCTCACACAGTGGGCAGGTTTTCAGTTTTTATGTAAGCATCTTTATTTTCCAAAGCTTTTTATTCTAAGTATATATGTGCTTGGCATATGTAATTCAAAAAGATTTTAAAGGCAACCTATTATTTTTAAGTATAATTCTTAGAGATTCATACTCCTTTCTTTCCCACAATAAGGTATAAAAATAAGTCTGGGTTACAGGACTTTTTGATTACCTTATAATGATATAAATTTGTAAGAAAAAGATGATTATCTTAAAAGGACGTTTGGTAGTGAAATTGAAAGGAGTAAGTTGAAGTTTGTCCTAGTCATCTAAAGGTTGCAGGTAAGCTTATTGAAGGTGACACTAACGTGACGGTGGTAATTCTCCTTGGGGCCTTTGTTAAGTGCAGTAATGAGTGATCATGGCGTTGTGTGTTCAGTGACGTCATGAGTCCCTTCTCGGGGTTGGAGCTGGGCATCTGCACCTCTCAGGTCTGCCTGTGCTCAGGGAGTGCTTCACAGAGACGGGGTCCAAAACTGCTCCTTGAACACAAGTCGACTGGGGCTAATTAAAGTGTGTTTTCATTGATGGAAAAGGATGTCCTCATCCAAGGAGTCTGTCTTCCTGTCACAAGCTTCTTGGTACCTCAACCAGACATTACTATCCAGGCTGCTGCATCCTACCACCTCGGAGACCCACCTGGAATGGTAGAAAGTTCAGCTACAAAGTGGTTTCTTTTTAAATATTTATTATTTTTGGTCTTAGACATGTAACTAGTACTCATTTTTTCTGACATCTCAAAATTTCATGAAGTGAAAAATAAATATTAAAAGAGGTAAGCATTATGAATAAGTCTTTCATAGATTTATCTTGGCTATAATTTGTTATTTTCTTTACTAGTGTAGAACCATGTTCTATCTGGTGATGTACACTTAGCTCTCCACCCCATTTACTGACGTAGCGTGATAAACATGACATAGTGTGTTCGTCTTTCTAACTCAGGGCATGTATATCTCCTGGGTTCTTGATTTTTTAAGTAAAAACTTTAGCCGAGTGCGCAAACCTTCACTTCCATTTACTCACTACTTGGGTCAAGAAACAGAACCTGACCAGAAGCCGGCCTCATGCCATCACATCATGTCCCCCCGCAGGGGACCAACCACCCTGGTGATGGTCACTTACTCTGTTGCCCTGTTGGAATGTCGTACCAGTTGGATCACACGCTGTGTGCTCTTTTCCACATGGCTTCCTTTGTTAACCTGATGTTTGTGGAATCCATCCAAACCACAGATTCCTCACTCCCATTGCTACATGTTATTCAGCTTTAGAAGAGACCAGAGTTTGTCTGTCTGTTTTAATGTTGGTTGTTTTCAGTTTTGCACTTTGGCTGATGATTCCACTAGAAACATTCCGGGGTGTGGTTTGGTGGACATGTGTATGCATTCCTGTACAGTAAACGTTTTAGAGTGGAGTTTCTGGGCAGTTGGGTCTGCATAAGTTCAACTTTAGGAGCTGGAGTCAAATGCTTGTAAAGCGTCCCATGCCACCATCACAGCATGGAACTTCCAGGCACTCCCCATCTGTGCCAGAAGTTATTATTTGTCACCCTCTTTAACCCCAGCCATTCTTTTGAGCTGACAGTGGTATTTAATTATGCTTTAATTTCAGTTTCCCAGTGGCGTAATGAGCTTGAACACATTTTCATGTTTATTGGTTTATTTGGATATCCTCTTTGGTGCCGTATCTTTCCTGTGTGTCGTATAGGTTGTCTCTTATTGGTCTGTAGGAATTCTGTATGTCGGTATATGAGTGTGATCTTGGGTAAATGTATCACAGCGATCTTCTTCAGTTTGTGCTGTGCCTTTACACTCTTTACCGGTGTCTTGTGGCAAATACAAATTCCAAATTTTAATATAATTCATCAATCCTTCATATTTTTAGTGTCCTGTTTTAAATCTTTTGTCTATTCCATTTTCATGAAAGTTTCCTATTTTTTATACTAGAATCTTTATTTTAAAAAAAACTTTCACATTTATATCTACAGTGCACCGGGAACTCATTTTATACATGGTATATTATGGATCAACATTCACTCTTTTATGAATATTGAGTTAAAAAGTCCTTCACTCATTGCTCGGTCGTGTAGATTTATCATAAGTCAAGAAACCACATGTGTATGGATCTCTTTCTGGACTCTATTCTGTTCCATTGATTGTCTATTCTTGCAACAATACCCTGGTGTTTTAATTACCATAGTAAATCCTGATAACTAAGAAAATCACTCCTCCAAATTTGTTCTTCTTTGAGATTGCCTTGACTATCCTCATCCCTCTGATTTCTGATCAGCTTGTCCATTTTCACAGACACACACCACACAACCTACTCCAATTTTGTTTATAAGTACGGTGAATCCAGATCAGTGTTTTTCAATCTTTTTTTCTCTCATAGCACACTTGAACCTATAGTTAAACTTCCATGGCACATTTAAATTATGTTGATTTTTTTAAAAAAAGAGTAAAAAAAAGGAATATACTTACTGTGATTTGAACTTCTTTGGAAAATAATCTTATTAATGACCTTTAAAATTTTTTGCAGCACACCTAAGATCCTTTTCTGGCACACCGGTTAAAAAAAATCACTCATCTGGATCAATTTCACATGAATTATTGTCTTTTAATTCATGAACACGGTATATCCTTCAGTTTAATTTGGTATTCTTTAGTTTTCAGTAATTTTAGGTAGTTTCCCTGAGCTATCATCTCTACTATAATGTTGAATAGAGGTAACTGTTAAAAGGTATCCCGTCTCATCCTCAATCTCTTGAGGAAAGCATTCATATGTTTACTATTATGATAGTTGATGTAATTTTTTGTAATGCACTGCAGATTAAGGAAATTATCTTTCTAGCTTGCTATATTTTTATTTTTATAAATGAGTGCTGAATTTTGTCAAATGCTTTTTTGGCTTCTATTAAGATAATCATATGACTTTTCTCCTTTATTCTGTTAATGTGATAAATTATATTATGATTCCTAAGGAATTTGTTTTGTTTAAATATATTATAAAAATAGAAAAGTGTACAAATTATACATGTATTGCTTAGTAAATTTCTTTCTTTTTCTTTTCTTTTTTTTTGAGACAGAGTCTCACTTGGTCACCCTTGGTAGAATACTGTGGCATCTTAGCTCACAGCAACCTCAAACTCATGGGTTCAAGTGATCCTCTTGCCTCAGCCTCCCAAGTAAGTAGCTGGGACTACAGGTGCTCACCACAGTGCTCATCTATT